TTTAATTATTTAACATAAACTCAAAATTTCACTAATAATTATCTATAACATCCCTCTCAAAATCAACACTGGTTAACAAATGATGGGACAAAGATCCCGGCTCCCTCGACTCGGACGGCCACCGTACCTGCAAGAACCCAAAGCCAAGGACCCCGGGAGGGGTGCCCGGCTTTGGGCCTCCGATGCTTAAGTCAGTACAGGATCCATATGAGAGCACATATAGAGAGAGAGTATAGAGAGAGGAAGTGTAGTAAGGGAATGAGTAGAGAATGTGGGAAATGAATACCTTAGCCCCCCTTTTATAGGGGGAGTGTACCTTATAGTCCCAATTGGGCTTGGCCTGATTTGGGCTCGGCCCATATTATTATATCAAGTGTCTTAGCCCATGTATGGGCGTATCTTCAATATATATCCATAAAAATCGGTCGGGTATGACATGTTATATCAAATACTACCGGTCGAGCCAGCAATACTAGTTGTGGCTATATCATCTAGTCCCTCCCACTCTGGTCGAGTGAGCATAACTCGATCCAAGAGTGAAGTAGAATAATTCGCCGCTGGAGTCAAACACTGAAACTGAATGGTTGTAGAAGTCGAAATTTAAGCGACCCGCCACTGGGGTCAAGCACCGAAAGCCGAGATTCGAGAGACCGCTAAGGCCGAAAACCAAGAGTAGAGACCGTTCAGGTCGAAAACCGAGAGTTGAGACCGTCGAGGTCGAGAACCGAGAGTTGGGACCGTTTAGGTCAAAGATCGAGACTGGAGACCGTTGAGGTCGAAGATCGAGAGTCGAGACCGTTGAGGTCGAAGATCGAGAATCAAAACCGTTGAAGTCGAAGATCGAGAGTCGAGACCGTTTAGGTCGAAGGCCGAGAGTCAAAACCGTTGAAGTCGAAAATCGAGAGTCGAGACCGTTTAGGTCGAAGGCCGAGAGTCGAGACCGTTGAGGTCGAAGATCGAGAGTTGAGACCGTTTAGGTCAAAGATCGAGAATTGAGACCGTTGAGGTCGAAGATCGAGAGTCGAGACCGTTTAGGTC